TACAAGACATTTTGTAAGTATACCTACCAACTGGTCTCCATTTCAATGATGGTCCCGTCATTGGTTTTTGAACTCTTAAAGATGTTGAGTCTCTACAGTATTGTACTTCATATACATTCTTTGTATTGTTAGTGTGACTCCTTCTTGTTAACTTTTTTTGTGTGGCTTTTATTTATGTGTATGTGTTTAAGTGAAGAAATACATCATCTCAGGTCCATTCTATATGGTTGTGCAGATTGGTGACTGCACACACTTGCCCAGCTAAGGTGTAATCTGTGGCGGAGATACATACCAAACCATGTGCCTTAGTGTGGGATTACCTCCACCTGAAAGAAGCAGCCCTTTTTTTTCTAATTTGCATGAATTTACAATGTCTCACTAAGCCATGGGGATCCTGGGTGTGTATGTGTGCCTCTAGTTTCCGTAAAGGCATCCTATAAACAAAGTCCCTGATGATTTCCTGCTTATTTATCTGTCTTTACTCCCTGTGTGTTTATTCAGCCCTCTAACAGAAGCTATGAGTTATATTGATAAAAGAACTAATCCATTACACATCAGCTTCTTGTGTGTGCAGATATAGTGTCTTAAGCTTTGTAGTTTCTGAGGCCAAGATAATTCATAAATATTTCCATACTGGAGAAGTGGAACACTTGATCAGGGTGATATGATATAGGCTTAAAGGTCAAGGGCAATTCACTCGGCCTGATCTTGTCACTTTTTTCTTGGGAATTTGATCTATTTATGACAAAGCTTTTGGAAACTTAAATGCCTCAGAAGATTTGACTCAGTGTTGACTGAAAACAGTCAGTTTCAGATTCCTACATTGAAGGTCGTGTAACAAAAAACAATATGGAATGTCATATCTAGAAAAATAAGTATCCAAATGCCTTTGATTATCCCCAAATCTTTTTTTCAATTTATATATACCCAAGGATAAGATTTACTTAAACCATGAAAACTTCAAACCAATTTTTTTGCAGGACTGGTGACTTTACATGTCTACTATTCTGTTTGAAATTATGTTTTTCACTTAATCTTCTCTTTCCGAATTTTTGCTCTTGACTACATTTCTTTTTCGGTCAAACCAGTGTTGTTTCTAATTAGAAATTTAAATTACATCTGGTGCAGTTTGTACACACCAGGGGATATATTTATGTAATACTTTTAGCCAGCCAAGATATTTTTGATAACTTCAACATAGCATTTTTTCAGAGTGCTTATTGAGAAAAAGTTATACAAATTGTACAAGAATGTACACACAAGATGCAGTTGTATAACTCGAGAGACCGCACAAGGAAAACATTTTATTTTATTTTATTTTTGAGATGGAGTTTTGCTATTACTGGCTAGGCTGGAGTGCAGTGGTACGATCAAGGCTCACTGCAACCTCTGCCCCCTGGGTTCAAGCAGTTCTCCTGCCTCAGCCTCCCAAGAACCTGGGATTACAGGTGTGCACCATCACACCCAGCTAATTTTTGTATTTTTAGTAGAGACAGGGTTTCGCCATGTTGGCCGTGCTGGTCTTGAACTTCGACCTCAAGTGATCCACCTGCCTTGGCCTCCCAAAGTGCTGAGATTACAGGTGTGAGCCATGGTGCCCAGCCAAACATTTCTTGAATATCTTTTTATTTTATGTTTCTATGGTGTAGAAAAACATTTTATCTTATCTATTTTTTTGTATATTCTCCCTTAGTGTATCTCATGGATGTGTGCTGTTGAGAAAGTGAAAACAATCTTACAAATTAAGATATTTTATTAAATTTCAATGAGGTAATTAAGGACACTCATTTCCAAATATATACATTTATTTCAGTGGCTTGAATGTTGCTTAATCAGGAAATAAAAAGAATACCAAACGTTGGTTGTTGGGCTTGTCTAGATCAGCAGCTTTGAGAGTCAGACTGTTGAAAGGGATGGCACATAGGTTAAAACAGCAGAGCCTTTGCTGTGGGTAGAAACTAATTGGCTGAAAACATTAATAAATTATACTTGCTATTCATGTCAAGAGAAAGCTGAGAAATATTAGTATCTCTTGAAATATTAGTATCTACCAAGGCATTACACTCTGACACATGATATTAAAAAATAAAAAGCATATCATTTGATTTAAGTTCTTCTTCCTATAGTAATAGAAATAGAAGCTAAGTTACTTGCCATTTACTTGGCAATGCTTTCTTGTGACTAATACAACATGTTTTAGATTTGGCATTTTCAGCCAATAAAATATTGCTAAGAAGGTTGCCAAGGAATTCACTTACATAAAATGTTTATTCCTGGGATCACTGCCTGGATTTATGCTAAAATGCCTTCAGTAAAAACCCTCTAAATTCAGAGCTAATTCTTTCTCTTTATTTTATGTTTCTTTATTAGGTACCTGTAGGCTATACACAGATTCCGTAGATTGACTGAAGTCCTATTTGTAAGACGGAAGATTCTAGTATGATATCAGACTTAAAAACTTAACCAGATTAGATGTTGTAGAATGCAATCTTTTACAAACAGATTGATTTTGCTTTCCAAATCTTTTGCAAAATCTCTGTAAGAGAGACCATGGACTTGGAAAATTCTCTGTGAAGCTGCTTTTGGCAAAATCCTGGCAAAGAAGCACTTCTGCGATTTCAGATCCTATTCTTTAAGCCTCTACTTGCTATTCTCATTTCATGCTATTCAGTTTTCTACTCCTCTGAGGTCTCTATGAATCTCCACTGTTTTGGATCTGCACAAGTCTTACGGTGGGATGTAAGTACATCATTCCACTTTAAGACTTGTGCGGATATTCTTTTTAAATTTATTTTTTATTTCTTTTTTCTTGTTTTTCCCCCCAACCAGAACTCATGTTGAGTGGTTGGATATTCTTGTGGGATACTTTGGTGGTTTCTTGACTTGTTCCTAACTAAAGTGTAAGTTTTGTTAAAGTGATTAGTATCCACATTTTGGACTCTTCCCCACACTGTAAGCGCCTGATACAAGTCCATAATAAGTGTTCAGTTAGGTAGGTTGCATTGTTTGGAAGTCTATCAAGGGACTGATGTTAAAGGATGGTCATATTTTGTGCTTTGCACATTGAGTTGAAAAGTTAGCTGCAGACAGATAACTGATCTAAGTCAAAAGTCCTAGATTGGAGTCTCATCACTGTTGCTCAATTGACCTGGTGATCTTTGGCCTGAGATTCAACCTCTGTGTCTTTACCAATGATTTATGAATCCCTAAGTTTCCTTTCAGCCCAAATGTTCTAAGATAGCTTGATTGCTCTATAGCAGTGGTTATCCAAGTGTGATACCTAGATCAAGAACATCAGTATCATCTGGAAACTTGTTAAAAATGTAAGTTATTGGATCCCATTGCAGAGCTACAGAATTAGAAACTCTACTCTTTAATAAGCTGGTGGACAAGCCCTCCACGTGATTATGATGCACACAATTTAAGGCTGAGAACTACTGATCTCTGAAATATAGTCAAATCTGTGGTATGGAGAGCTCTATACCACAATGTTAGCAGACATCGAAGATTGCCTAGCAATTTCATGATTGGCATTTAAATCTGTATCTCATGTTTCAGCTTTCAGTCTCTGTAGAATGGTTCACCGTTGCATCATATTCAAGTTTCCAGGGACTACTCATGGCATTGCAGCTTTCCAAGCTCCTATAAAGTACTGGCAATTCAGGAGTGAAAATGTTTTCTTAGGGTGAACAAAGAATATGCAATGGACAAGGGATTAATTTCCAGTGGCAGCCTCCTAATTTTGTATTCATAACGTTGTATGCATGCTAGGCTACACATGCAATGTCTGCTGATATACATTAGGTAATTGGGCATCCAGCAGCCCCATTTGCATGCAAAGGCTGTTGCATATCTCACATTTACAAGTCTAAAATTAAAGCCCAGTTTGAGGCTGGCTGAAGGCTAGCTGCTAGAAAAATAATGAGATAAGGATGGAAATGGCTTCTGTTAATCAGTGCTTTTGGCCTCTACTGTTCAATCTTAGCTAATTTGCCCTTTGAAATTGTACATTCAGGTAAAAGAGAGAGACTTCGAAGAGTATCTGGGTGGTTATTTCCCCCCTCTTAAATCCTACAGGTATAAGCTGGTTGTGTTTATCCACAGCATTTCTCTTAAAACTGTACCTACATGTATGCTGCAGTCTGTTGCTGTGTTGTATTTTTGCTTAACAGAGTATTCATGCTCTTGTGGGATCACATGCATCATCTCAAAAATGAGCCATCCCAACACAGACTCACAGACTGGGTCTGTAGCATCGTTTTCATTCAGGACACATTTATCAAGCAGCCAGTGTCTTTGTGCCAGACATGTGCCAGGGATTTGGAATATACATCAGTCAAGCATACTCTCTGCCCTCAAAAGCTCACAATATTTTAATAGCTTCCTAGTGTCACAGAGTTGAATATTTTTGTTTAAATAAAGTCTTCCCTGATCCCCCCGTTTGAAATGACTCCTTGCTTCTCTGAGCCCCTGATTATGCTCAACCTGTGTCCCTAGGAGAATAAGAGACCCAGTGGACAGAGGCCTAGAAAGCCCAAAGCCTGAAAGCCATTTGGCTACTCAGGCCATCAAGAGGAGGTGGCTGCATTGCAAATGGCCTCGAGGCTCAGTCTGTGGGAACAAAAATGCACTAATGTTTACTGTACCCCTGTGTGGTTACATGGAAGAGAATGCCAATCTAAAGCAATCTTAAAGGAATTTACTCACAAGCATCATCTAGAGGAACAGTGGACCCCTGCAAGGACAGTATACCAACTAGTCACTTGTCACTCTTCATTGATTGCTTTATATTTCCATATTTGGCCATGTCCTTTGTTTACTTTGACATCAAGATTGTGAGGTCTCAGAGAACAGGTCAGGGTCTTAAGATTATCTTTCATAGTGCCTATTTGATGGTGATGATCATAAATACAGTATAATAGAAGGAAAAATAATTTGGTGGCTTATATACCCTGGTAGTTTCTCATGGTGTTAAGCAATATTTTTTCTCTTTCTTTTAGCACAAGTGCCTATACCTTGATAGCACCAAACGTAAACCGAAGAAATCAGATACAAAGAAGTACGTATAGTCATTCATTTAACATTCAGAGTTCTTTTCTCTCTCTCTTTTTTTCTTTCTTTTTTTTTTTTTTTTTAAAGAGATGGGGTTTCACTATGTTGATCAGGCTAGTCTTGAACTCCTGACCTCAGGTGATCCATCTGCCTTGGCCTCCCAAAGTGCTGGGATTACAGGCATGGGCCACAGCACCCAGCCCTCTCTCTCTCTCTTTAAAATTGGTTTGTTTTGGTGTGAAGTATTTTCTGATTTATATAGACTCACCAAATCTCATCAAGTGTTTTTTATTGTTTTTTTTTTTGTCAAACATCAGCAGTTTTGATTATACCTTAAAAATACTCTATTAACACTTTTAAGTTTGTTTCTCTACATTAGTAACAGAACTCACTACATGATGGTAGCTTCTGGACTTCTGCTGGCTTGAACAACTTTACACTTACTGCCTCAAGAAACCTTCTTGAGGGCCGGGATCACATCTTACTCGTTTTTGTGCTCTCTGTATGTTTAATCAATGTACAGGAAATATAAATGCTGCCATTTAAAGTTATAGCATCATCCTTTAGAGGTGGAAGATAACTAAAGTTTATTTAGTTCACAAAGAAACTGCAGGCTTGATGCTGAAATTCGATGGTCCCCTTTATTAGATGATTGGTAGGAAATTTAACTTTATGACTAGTGATGGACAGAAAGGCACAAAAGCTCTCTAAAGAGTCCCCACCAGACATGTAGCCCCGGGAGGTATAGTGGGTCAGTGCAGAAGATGACAATCACCGCCATGCAGGGACTATGGGAACTGCCAGCCTTTCTGGTATCTTACAAGCTTTTGATTTAAATACTTAATAGGAGCTTAAGTCTCAGTGTGGTCTGGGTTCTGAAATGTTTCGGAATTTGTTTTTCTAACGGACATTTGAAACAGATCTCACGGGGAGGTAAGGGTAGGCACTGGATTGACAAAACTATTTTTTTCTCTGGCGCCCCCTGCTGTCGTGCAGAGTGAACATTTAGGAAATGAGCCCTGCACCCCAGGAAGCCCACTCTGCATAATTGGTCTGGAGTGCCCGAAACCACAGCGAGGGTCCCCTCCCCACCTGTGGCACCGAGCCCTCACTCCCTAGAGTTGCAGTAAGCTTGGGGAGCATTAAACATAAAGCGAGTGTGGGTATCAGAATTCTCTGGAGTATGTTTACCTGTGTGTGGAAAATTCTTGACATGAAAATATTCTAGTTATGCACGCATTGTCTATAGGAAACTTTAAAAATTAACTTGATATAGAGTTTTAAGAATGCCAGAATGGTAGGAAAATCTATACATTTTTTGTTTTAGTAGGAGCCCAGGTGGTTTTTCAAATTTGAACCCTCTGTGCTGACTCTTGGTAAGAATGTGCCACAGGCCGAGGGTGACCCACAGGCATCAGGGCTGAATATTGTGTTCCTGTCCTGGAAGCCTTGTTCACTCAGGCTCCCATGTAGTGAACATGGATTGCCTTCTAATTGTTGCTTAATTGCCTTCTAATAGTTGTTTCTTATGCTTCGAAGGGACTGTTTTTCTTTCAGAAGTCTAGTAATTGACAATTTGATGTTTCTCACCTGCTTAGTTGCAGAGCAGGAGCTGGCCAACCTAGAGAAATGGAAGGAGCAGAACAGAGCTAAACCAGTTCACCTGGTGCCCAGGCGACTAGGTAAGCAAGCACGCTGCCTGAATGTGGGAGGGCGGGGTCACCTATGGATGATCCTGTTAACAGCTTGCAGATGTCTGTTTGTGAGTGTCCATTGTAGATTGTTTGGTCATTGTGCTGCTTGGGTGGAATGCATTTAATGAAGATACATATATTTCTGATTTTCTGTAAGTAGCAAACCTGTAATGCCACCGTTCTATGGGAACAAAGTGATGGCTTAATTGCCAAATAATTTAGAGCCTCTTAGATGACTGACTCTGAAGAAAGCTTACCTGGGGCGCTGCATATGCCCTGGCATAGCACTAGTCAGGATGGGAGTAAATGCTAGCACAAGCATATTAATCATGGCAGTTAAATGTTAATGTGAAGAAAAGGTGTGGAGAGTCAGTTCCAAGAGCAAGATGAGAGTGAGCTGGAGACCTGGTGGTGGGTATAAGAGAAACATCACCTGAGTTTTTATTCTACAGATAGAGACCTCTGGGCCTCTGGAGCAGGTGCTGCCAGTGTGATGAATTGCCTGGGCTGCCTTTGCTGGTGTTTGAATCATTCAGAGGGGATGCCACCTAATGGGAATCATTCACATCTTTTCTTTACCTTTTTTCTTCTAGCAGCAGCTGAAAATTTAAAGGGTTGGACACACAGTGTCCACAGATTTAGTTAATAGAAGCCTGTCTTGTGTTAGGGGCCACTTACTGTTGTGATTGTTTTAGAGTTCCCTCCCCACCCCCAAGAACATAGGTAAAAATAATCTAATTTGGAAATTATTTAATGAGAGGAAGTAATAGTAATATTATCATCATCCCACTGTATTTCATTGAAAGGGCTTATCTCAAGTGTTTCCTTGGTGCAAATGAACCAGACTTGAAGGGTACAATGAGAAAACAGCTTTAATTTCTTCTAACCTGGTCCTGAGATTGGCTATATGAGACTGGTTTTTCCCAGGCTTTTTGGATGATGTAAAAAGTTAAAGCTTTTGGTTTTTCTCAAACAGTAGAGTGACCAGGATTCTTATTTCAAATTCCTGTTACGTGCATTATCTAGGGATAGTAAGGTGTGTGTGTGTGGGAGGGGCTTGGGGGTAGAAAAGAAAATTCTAAATTGTATTAAACTTTGAGATGAGTTTTGAACAAAATTTTTAAATGTTTAGACATCTGGCTCTCTACATTTCTTCTAATTTTCAACTCCTCTATTTCTCTACCCCTTAAAATATTGGAATTGTTGCAGGAGATGCTAAAAGGTGCTGTAACATTATGAAAAGCGTCAACATTCCTCACTGTTTTGAAAGAAACATTCCCCACCCCCCACAATAGCAATCGAAGGGCTCACATCAAACAGCCCTTATATATCTTTTGAATCTCAGAAGAAAAGTCCCTATGGTAGCTTTCTCAGTTCAATTATAAGATCTATAGTGAACACAAATTGTTTTAATGCATCTTCTGTGAGAGTGAATCTTTCAGAAAGCTGACGCTTTTAGTGACCAAAGCACCAGAGAATTATTTCAAAGGAACCTCTATAATATGCACACCAAGCTTGCATAAACACTGAGAATTCCCTAAAGGGCAATTCTTAGATGATTGTCAAGCTGCCAGGATTTCTGGCCCCAAATTCTTTTAGGTTTAAGAGAGAGCAATATTGCTTCTCGGCCTTTTGGCTAAGATCTAGTATCTGTTCTTATCAGTTTAATATCTGATTTTAAAAATATGTATATATAAAAGAGAGCAAGTAAATAATTTAACATCCATATTTTTAGTTTGACTATATGAAGAAAGAACAATAAATAGAATGGATTGATGATCAGTTACTAACTAGACTATTCTCATTTTCCCATTGTATTTTTAGAAACTGAGTTAAAAAGATTAAATACTTGTCTAGTGGCAAGACCTCTGAGAGCTTCCAGAGCCTTGTTGCTTGAATGCAAGGCAATAGAGTTAGAAGACAAAAAGCAATAGAAGCACCTTTGGTCACCATCTTTATTAGGTTCAGTCATGGTCATAATCAAGAAGGAGGAATATTCTATAGTTTTCTAGACAGGAACTGTTTCTTCTGTTTAGTGCAGACCTTTAGGTGTGATTTCAATCCAAGTGAAAAGCTGAATACCTACATGATTGAAAAACCTTAGAAGTGTTCTTTTGTTTTAAAAATATGGCCTCCTCTTTCTGTCCAGCTCTCTTTTCTAAGTATTCCCCTTATTTAAGGTCTTATTAGAAAAACAGGTTATGTTCTTATTTCCAAGAGCATGAGAATATTAACAAAACTCATGTTATAACTTTATTATGTATTAATTAGTCCTTGATGGCTGACATTTCAGCTTAATATTTATGTTTCATCTATGTGAATTTTTTTTTCCTAAGGTGGAAGCCAGTCAGAAACTGAAGTCAGACAGAAACAACAACTCCAGCTGATGCAATCTAAGTACCAGCAAAAGGTCAGAATTCATCTTCTTTGGTTTAATTTTGGTAAGGAATATGAGTACCAGCTCTTTCAAGTAACCATGAAATAACACAGTAACTTTACCAAAAGCATAAAACCTTCCAACCGATTGCAAAAGGCAGCTTTCAAAATCAAAGATATCAGGAAGTAAGAAGTTAAGAGATGGATGCCTTCAATTCTTATCTAAGCCCTTTATCACTCAGCATGACCCTCAATTAAAGGACTTCTTTTTCTAGTTTAAGTTAACTATATTTTAACTATAGTTTAAAGTCTATTATGTCTGGAATATTTTGGTTCTAAGAATGTGAACTTATTTACCACAGGCCAATTGTGGAAGCAGTACAGAAAAGATTTAAGATACTCAGTGATTTTTACAATGAACACTGAGTTTTGTAATCAGGAAAAATTATTTTCCCTTTTCCCTCCCCAATATACACACACACATACACACACACACACACACACATACACACATACACACACACATACCACACACACACACACATATAGAGACAGAAACATTGAGAAAGAGAGAGACTAAGGAAGAAACACAAAGACAGAAATTTCACAGACAGAAGACGTAGCCTGGCCAGTCTCTGTGATCTAAGTAGCTTGAAGTAACAACCTATAATCATGGTGAGGTATAGCACAAACAATACTGCAATTTGCCTTTCATCATAATTTTGTGTTCCACAGTTCAGACTGAAAAATGGTAACTGTTTTCGTTCTCTGTAATTTCAATATAATTTAGCTAAAAAGAGAAGAATCTGTAAGAATCAAGAAGGAAGCTGAAGAAGCTGAACTCCAAAAAATGAAGGCAATTCAGAGAGAGAAGGTAAGGAGGAGGTGCATTAGCTCACATTTGCTGAGGGCTTAGAATATGCCAGGTTGTCTTCTAGACACTGTCCGTATATCAACTCAGTTAACCCTCACAGTAACCCTGTGAAGAACCTGTTCCCCTTATTACCCAATTTTGCAACTGGGGCTGGGTAATTTGCCTACTGGTTGGGGCTCCTCAACCAGTGTATTAGTCTGTTCTCACACTGCTAATAAAGACTGGGTAATTTATAAAAGAAAGAGGCTTAGCTGACTCAGAGTTCCACATGGCTGGTGAGTCCTCACAATCATGGCTAAAGGTGAATGAGGAGCAAAGTCCTGTCTTACATGGCAGCCAGCAAGACAGCAAGAGAGCGTGTGCAGGGGAAATCCCCTTTATAAACCTATCGGACCTTGTTAGACTTATTCACTACCACAATAACATTATGAGGGAAACCACCCCATGCTTCAATGATCTCCACCTGGCCCCACCCTCAACACGTGGGAATTATTACAATTCCAGGTGAGATTTGGGTGGGGACACAGCTAAATCATATCAACCAGTAAGAAGAACTGAGATTCACATCCAGGCAGACTGGCCTCAGAGCTGTGCGTCTTTGTCACCACACTGTCTCATTCCTTAGGGGAGTGATGAAAGTAGTAACCATATATTTATCCAGAAGGCAAAGCAGCTAGTAATGATGACGGTCCGTGGTATATGCTGCTGTACTTACATCCAAACATTGAATTTTCCAGACTGGGTGTGATGTAGGTAAGCATGCCTCTCATTGATAAAAGAAAAAGCCTATATTTGCATTTCCTTTTTAGTGACATGATCTATACTAAACCTCAAAGTGATGTGTTAGTTTTGATACTCTTTCTGGGGCTTAGGGGGATAAAGTCTTTTAAAAATGTTTATCTGCTAGAGAAAAAGAAAAAAAAAAGGTAGTGGTGTTCTGTCCACACACCTCCTTCCTTCTTCCTACTACTGTCATTTTCCACAAATTCCTAACCTGTAATAGATTTAAATCTTGGAGGTTTGGGAACAAGGCTGGCTCATGAAACTGACCACCATGCATGACACTTGCTGCAGCCTTAAGTCAAGGAAACGCATCCTGGCTGGGAGCAGACTAATCCATCTTGGAAGGTGTCTGTTGTGCAGTGTGACCTTGTGTAGGCCCCCAACTTTTTCTGAAGCACCAACCTTTCTTCTCCCAAGTTCAAGGGCACCCTGTTGCTGTAGAGATGTGGGCTTTGTGGATGGAGATAAGACTGGATTTGCATACGAGGAACCGAAATAAAATGCTGGAAGTATAAAAAGAGCATAGGAACTGTATAAAGTTTGACTTGGCAATCCATTTCTGACTGATCAACAATTATGGTTTCATTGTAGAAAATTTTTATTACAGCAACTTAAAAAATTTACCTGTATTTCTCTCTCTCTATGTTTCTATTCCCCACTCTTCTTTTCTCATCCAGTGTTTTTTCCTCCATTTTTCCTTCAAAGGAAGATTCATGCTTAGGTCTTGCAATTTTAGAGGAGGCACTCCCTTTACAGTGCATAGTCTGTATTTCAGGTAGAACAAAGAAAATCATTAAGTCATCACCAGGAACAGAGTTAAGAGGCTTGCAGACCTTTAATCATTATTGTATTGCAACCTCTTGTCCTAAAGGTCATTTATTGTCATTTAATACCCATGATTGGCTGGCTTGTGGGTCATTTACAGCTAATTTCTTCATGGATCAATAATGTATATTATTCATAAATGTTTGAGGTTGAAACTGTTTTCTTTCCTTTTTTTTTTTTTTTTTTTGAGACTGGGTCTCACTCTGTTGCCCAGGCTGGAGTGCAGTGGTGTGATCACAGCAGCTTCAATTTTCTGGATTCAGGTAATCCTCCCACCTCAGCCTCCTGAGTAGCTGGGACTATAGGTGAACGCCACCATAGCTTTTTTTATTTTTTGTAGAGATGGGGTTTTACCATGTTGCCCAGGCTGGTCTCGAACTCCTGGGCTCAAGGGATCCACCTGCCTCGGCCTCCCAAAGTGTCAGTATTACAGGAATGAGTCAGTGTGCCTGGCCGAAACTGTTTTAACATTGTCTAACAGTAGTGTTTTTCTCTTTCCTAATGTGATAACTGTAATTCTATTGCCATAAATTTGCCAGAAAGTGAGAGATGGGGAGACAGAGATGATCTGCAGACCCTTCCCATTGAAAATACAGCCCTTGAACAAGCAACATTGGTATCATCTGGGAGTTTGTTAAAAGAGCAGAATCTCGAGCTCCACATCAGATCTACTGAATCAGAATCTGCATTTTAACAAGCTCCCAGATAATTCCTGTTCACATAAAAGCTTGAGGAGCATTAATTTAAACGACCTTGCAAAAGAAGGAGTGACCCATCCTTGTCCTTCCACAGACGCGATTTCTCTGGCTGATTGGCCTGCACTGCCACCATGATCCTAGCATTTCCCATCGTAGATAAATCTGTAGCTTTTCATGTTAAATGTGAGCCTAGTTAGTAGCTTGTGTCGGATAAGAAAAATGAACATTAGCCATCTAGAAATGACATATTTCACACTGCCAGTGTGGCAATGGCCAAGGGAAGTGATAATGGCTGTGCTTATGGAGCACTTAATTTTTAAAATGCACAGCAAACACACACATGGACATCAGCCTGCAAACACACTGCCCTCCTCCCTAGGCAAATGGCTGCTGCCCAGAAACTCTGAGTCAAGTAGAATCCAAGCAGCCTATTGCTGCCCAAGAGCCTCTAGCTTTGTCTCTGGTCTTGCCCCGACTGGCCACTGCTCCCCTTCTGCCCTTCATTTTCTCCTTTCCCAGAAGAAGTCACCAGGGGACATTGGATCTCATTCTGATTGTTCATCATCTCTGTGTGGAGCATGTAGTGAGAGAAGAGTAGACTGGATTCCTTGCCAGCATTTGTGGGTGTATTTTGATCTTTAATAGACAGAAAGGTGTGAAAATCGACCAGCTCTTTAGTATCCAGTCATGTCGATGGGGTCCAGGAAGAGTTAATCCTACGGGTAAAAGGGGAAATTTGGAGAGAGCATTTGGTATACTTCAATTGTATTCAGTTCGGGAATGTAACTTGCATTCCCTAGGCTATAGTCTGTCATGGTATACATACGTCTAGTGCTGTGCTGCAGCTTCCTTGTACTGGCTTATGCTGTGAGAATAGATTGTCAAATTTTCAGGATTTTTTTTTAAGCTACTTGACTTCATGTTGGCAGCTTGAAACTGACCGTGGTGGAAAATATTTGTGCTGTGGAAATCAGTAAGTGCTATAGATAAATTTTCCCTCCTCCTCCTCCTCCCTTCTAGACCTGATTGTTAAATGTTGACCAGCACACCACCACTTAGCACTAAATGAAAAAGGTACTTTCTTACCGCCCACCCCCTCCACATTCCAAAGCCAAGTCTCAAAGGGCTAGGGAGGGCAAAGATTTGGGGAAATAGCTGGCCTATTGTGTGTTTGATATTTATTGATTTAAAAATAGGTTATAGTTCATGTGGTGGGCAGAATAATGCTCCACCTCAAGACGTCCATGTTTTATCCTTGGAATCTAGGAACATGTTTCCTCACATGGGTAAGGGGATTAAGGTCACAGGTGGAATTAGGGTTGCTAATCAACTGACCTTAAAATAGAAAGCGCATCCTGCAATATCCAGGTGCCCAATATAATCACAGGGGCTCTTAAAATTGGAAGAGGGAGATAGAGAAAGAAGAGATGGCAACAGGAAAAAGATTTAGCCCACCACTGCTGGCTTTGAAGATGCAGGAAGGGGCCATTAGCCCAGGGATGTGGGCGGCCTTTGAAGCTGGAAAAGACCAGGAAACGAATTATTTTCCTTCCAGCCTACAGAAGGAACACAGCCTTGCTTCCACCTTGATTTTAGCCCATTGAGACCCATTTTGTACTTCTGACCTCCAGAGCTGTAAGATAATAAATCTGTATTGTTTTAAGCTGTTAACTTTGTGGTAATTATTTACAGCAGCAATAGGAAACTAATACTACTCATGGTTTTATAATGATGTATTCATTTCTTTTCCAAGAAATCTATAAAGTAGAGACAATGTCTCTAAGACATTAAAACATTAAAGGAAACTCACTTAAAGTAAAAAGCAGTCTACCAGATGCAAGTGTTTTGCCACTGGTTCTTTCAGCATAAATAGGTTTTCCTAACTCCCCACAGCAAGTATTTCACCCAAATTTAGTGCTGTGGGAGTAAATCACATTTTTCCCTCATAATCACATTGATAAATAATAATTTGATTTTCTCATACTTTCATAATACCCACAAACCTAAAATACGAAAATCTTCTAAATCCATTTTAAAGACTCTCTCTGCTCCCTAGGTTCATCTTATTCTGCCTTTGATCTACACATGTTTGAGATAATATACAATATTATATAGTTTTCAAATACAGCCATCCTTTATGGAGTGGCGTTTGCATCCTCCTGATGCTTTGAGTCATCTCTAGGTTATTTATCATACCTCATATGATGCAAATGCCATGTAAACAGTTGTTACACTGTATTGTTTAGGGAATAATGACAAGAAAATAGTCTTACATATTCAGTTTAGATTCAATCATCTATTCATCATCCCCTGAATATTTTCTATCTGAAGTTGGTTGAGTCAGCAGATACAGAACTCACAGATGAGGAGGACCAACTGTACTTCATTTGATTCACCAACCTTTTGGTATTGTACCCTCAGAGAACTCAGGAAACGAGTTAATGATCTGAGTGGCTTCCAACACCTTTCCTTGCTCTTTCCAGTAAGCTATGGCTGCTAAAATCATTTGAAGCACTGGAAGTTGCAGTGTTTTATGCAGTCACTGAGAAGCATAGTTTTAATGCTGCACAGTGAAGTAGAAAATAACTGGTAGAATATAAGTTATGCATATTAGTTGCAGAGATATATACATGTACATGTTAAGGAATCACACTTGTTGCTTTCTTATTTCTAGGAAGCAAGTAGTAGCAAGGG